TTGTATAATTTGACTATAAGATTTAATTAGGTCACAATTATTTGCGATTAAAACCACAGGTGAAGCAACTTAACAGAGCAACAATCACCCCATTGTCATGAGAACACCGAACAAAGCCAGGTAAGCTCTAGTCAATGGAATAAACATTCAAAAATTCTCCATATGATCAAAGTGAGCCAGCATTGAACGGACTCTGTATTGATCTGAATATAGTTAAACATGATCTGTCAAATTCAGTTCAGTCTTCCCATGTGATCCACAATGGTACTAATTCAAGAAGACAACCTACGCAGAGGTAATATTTAGAATAAGAAAAGGAATAAAAGAGCACGAACTTGGATTCAGACTGAAAAATTACTGAATAGTATAAAGTTGGGTAGAATCAAGACGAGCTGTGGATAGGGTTAACTCTATTCGGAAAATCATGCAAATAAATGTCAAAAGTATCAAACAACTATTGGTTGATTCTTCAATGTCCAATCGACAACGATATGCTTAATTAAGTTTCCTTCTTACATTCAGCCAATCCGATTTATGCCACTTGAGAATACAGGATTGGTCGGGAAATGCTTTTCTTGATTGGCTACCTGGAAGCTGTACAGCCGTGCGTCCATACCCGTTGCACGATTACCACTGCACCCAAGGAATCCCAATTGAACCAGTGTAAAACAATTGTTGTGCCTAGACAGAAATCACTGCATAGTTTCATACATTGTGCTGTCCCTGGGTATATCAGCTGGTAGAGTAGTCATCCCGATAGCAAAACCATCAGTTCGTTTACGGCTCACGATTTAACATTCCAGGGTAAACTGAACACCCTGTTGTAAACCGTCGTTCTCTTAAATCGATAGTAATCTTTTAGGGTGGATAGGGGAAGACTTTGGCTAGAAAATAAACTTGAAATGGTTACTATCATGGATACATAGCTCGTTGACTCGTACCATGTGTTCTCTCCAAAATTGTTCTAGGCTGACTGCATATAAATATATTTTGCATTCCTATAAAACACAAAAAAGAAATTTAAAAACAATAATATCCGATTCAAAACATATGTGTGTGCACAAAGCTGAGCAAGAAATCTTACCGGTATCTTTCTTCCATGGTCTCCTTATCACCACTGGTTTGCGTCTGAAGCTGTTCGTAACGCATTTTCCACAGAGTGCAATCCCGTTGCAGCTGTTTGTTTTGCTCAATTTGCTTCACCATAACTTGGTTTTGTTCGTTCAGTGCATCCTCCAGCTCTTGAATTTGTACTGTTAGGTGAGCCGTTTGTTGTCCCTGTCTTTTTCCGGCCTGATCAGCACCTCCTGCACCGGCATTTTCCACTGCATGAGTGAGCTGAACCAGAGCCTCACCCATCTTTGCATGGAGCTGATTATACGACGTTGGCAATGTGGACAGACAACACCGAATGGAATAGGAAGGCAGTATATTTATGATATACAAAGAGACCTTGTGCATAACTGTTCCGAGAAGTCACAGTTAAGAAAACTCTGTTACCAATCCTTTTTAACAGATGATTCAAAATCATCTATGACTTGCATTTGTCAAACATCAAACCAATAAACAAATTCACGAAGATGACACTAAACCGAACGGGGTCCATCATTAACTCGTGCTTTGGGAGTACGGTGCTTTGAATACGCAATCACATTCTGAGAGGACCTTTTTTATTTATCATTCTTCCTAAAGTTCATCGAACTACCGCATTGTAACACTTTATTTGTTATTGACGTCAAAATATAAAAATTATATTGAATATTGAATCGGTACTTGGTTCAGCTGATGTCGTGATGGTCTCAAGTGCACGTAAACACACCTTTCGAAGCTTTGCAGAACCTAACGAGAATACTTTCCCAGGTCGATGAACTTTTGTTTCAATCTAACTTTCAGATGCACTTAAATGAAATATAACTGTGTTTATGGAAATAATATCACACATTAGTCATTTACGTTCCGCAGCAAAAGCTTTATGAAAACAATCGTCCACAGAATTATCATTTCCCTTCTAACGAACAGTCATCGGAGGAAACGTCACGACCAATCGCGCATTTATCATGAAAACTGAATTATTTTACTTCTGCTCGATGCACTCGAATCTTTGATTTTTCGCTAGATTTTGGTATCATTGTTATTGTTCAATCTGAAAATTAATAAATCGATTGATTTTGGATCATGGACAATCGGAACATTTATTGTTCTGATGTGAACAAAAGCCAATAATAAACGGTGATTAGTCTGATACGAGCTAAACTGGATGAACAGTCACTATAGAAATCTAAGCTCATGTACATCAAAGAAAACGTCCTAAACCCAAAGACGAATATAATGATGATCCTTGGTTGAAGGCTATGGAGAGAGTGGACGAAGTTCGAATTTGTTCGCAATTATTTAATCCTAACATTCAGATCAGCAGAACAGCACCATTCTAGACGGCTGCTGAAATCTCTTGGGCACAGAAAGAAACATGATCACAAGACAGCTGGAATTCAACTAGTTATCTCTTCAGTTGTGTACAAATATCCACGCGAAAATTCGGTCAGAACTACGACCAGATTTCGGACAACAAAAACACGGGACTTGACAAAATCGATACGAAGGTCAATGGTCACCGCTTATATTTGGATTGGACGAAAGGGGGGTTGCGAGAACAGGCTTATTCATGAAAATCACTCGTCCCCTGAACTTTGAAGATCCAGTAAATGTAACACAGTCAATGAAAAGATTCAATATGACCGACAACAGGTATGAGGAACTAGTCAACAAACCTTAGCAACGAATGTAGTTGATGATGTAATTGTCAGGTTGTTGACATTAGCATTGTAGCTATACTGCAGTAGTCAACCCGGTAATTACAGTGAAAGGATCTTACTTCCGATAACCAATTAATGAGTTCAGGTTTAGTCTTGCAATTCAGGTGAACTACTGCTTGATGTTTCAGTACCCGAGTTCCATTACTAAGCCTCAAAGATCAGTGGTTTCTTTAGCGCTATATGTAAAAATTAGTGTTTATATGTGCAAATATATGTTTTCTTATCTTTTTCCATTATTTCTCGTCCCTTCTGCATCTCGCCACAAGCCTTTGAAACTTATACTCGTCAGTACGTAACGCATTTCTCATCAACGTGCACTGAGTTTGAAGTAAATTGAACCCGGCGTGTCGTTGAACGGCTGACGTATTCTTTAGTTTATCGCTAGGTCAAAGTAAATTACAGAATAACAGGAACCTTCCGCATGACTCAGTCTAGATACTTAAGATGAGGTATCATCCCAAAGGAAGTTACATCAAGCGGCAGTAATATTCAACTCCTCTAAGGGTTGCCTACATTAATGTGCTTGAAATCATCGTTATCTAGGAGAGTATCAAAGAAAGCCACCAATGAAGAAGAAATACAGTTTATGCTATGCGTGGGGGAGATTGGGAAATCCTACTTCAGTATATTTTGATCAGCATTAAACTTTGGGAAATAATAACTGCAAATGAACGAGAAACTGCGCTGACAAGAGGGGTGCAACAATGGAATACTGAAAATGTCTCCGATTTGCCCCCAACTGCCGGAACATTCAACCCGCTTAACTCACACACAAAATATTTTTCTTCATTACGNTTCATTACGACTGATAGAACGCTGTGATAGTTACAGTCGAATAGGTGATGTGTGACGGCCAGAACAGCAATCAGTCTGTGGGTTTACCAGTAGAATGCAGTCTATGCATTCGATTTAATTTACGCTGGTTTCACTTCAGGTTGAAAAGTTATAGACGTCGCTACTAGTCTGACCCTGCCATGGTTGGGATAACACCGTGCTTCTGATCCGTAATTTTGTTCCCCCACCCCATCCGTTTGTCCAATCNATCCGAGTGCCAATTTTGAAATTTGACCCAGGTGTCGATTTCGTCTAGCCCCATGTTTTGGTATCCAAAGTCTGGCGCAAATTTCACATGAATGTTTAAACACAGGTGGAGAGTTAACGGGTAACAGTTAAATTAAATCTCTCTTGTGATGAAGCTTGTTTTGATTTTGTAAATTTATAAGGGAACTGCATGCATCAAGCAGATATCGTCTCTTGTTGATGTTTTGAAAACATCTTGCGGTTTTCTGAAACCTGAGGAATAAAATACCCCTCAAAAGGGTTATCTCCTTCAACGAACAACGTTGAGGTCGTCCAAATTCGTTTTCTTTCAAGCCCACGAGTCCATTAGTCTTGGGATATTTTTTCCGGAATAGCTTCTTCTTCCTCGCTGTTCTCACTCTCTAAAACCAATTTCCCTGCATCCTACAATCCTTGTAACAGAAGTCCGACTGCTTTGCAAGTTGTTGACATTCATCATAGGAGGCCAGGATTACCCTTCCTTTGACAGGATTTATGATCACCGGTGAGTTCGTTTGCTTTGTTATGTGTTTGCAGTAACTAAACTAATTGAACGAGGCATCCGTGCTACTAGTGGGATAAAATGAGTTCATTGCGTAAAACATGAGCAGTGGTCTTAAACATTCGCTGACAAATTTTGCCTAACAGTTCTAATGACCTTCAGTGAAACACCGCGATGGCTTACGAGGTTCACACAGGATTATATATACGGAAATTTCGATATATGGGAACTACAATAGTAAACTCAGTTTGGACCGGGAGAGGAGGATCACCATTTCGAAATTTTGATATATATATATATATATCCGCACCTTAGCCTGTAATGCAGCCATATCTTTTGCATGTCGTTCATTTGCCTCTTCACTTGCACGGTGCGCTTCTCTGAGTAGTTCGTTTGCCTTAAGCAAGCTCTCTTCTTTTGCGGCTAGGCGCCGTTCTAATAGGTCAATATTCATGCGAAGGCTTGCCACCACTGGATTCGATGGGGCAGGTGAATTGCTTGCCGTGACCAGTTGTTGGTTTACTTGTGGAGTCAATGATTGTTGATGCTCACGCTCCACCTCACGTAGAGCGTGTATGAGTTCAGCAACACGCTGGAAGACAAAAGGAATTTGAAATTACGGGGATGAAATCATCAATAATTCTTAGGGAAAAACTGAAGTAGTAAATCTGTTTTGCTTTTATCTAACAAAAATGAACTAATTATTTGCGTAAAAGTGAATTCGATTCCAGTAATTTCTTCAGCTGATGGTGTTCAAGCAACAGTTGGCGAGTTCAGGACAGATAGTGTCGCAAACAGTTACTGGTGAACAGAAACCAAGTTATCCCCAAAAAGAGAATCACTAATAACCTTTAAGTTGAGGAAAACAACGTCTGAGAGTCACCTTGTGAAACCTAAAACTTTGCATCTTCATGAGTTATATGTAAAACCAAACATAAGTAGAATTGATTGAACGTCTAATTCACGTGCAGCTCTCTTGCCGTTATAAATTCATATAATCAAATGCAACTTAGGGACTTAAAAGAACCATTAACTCTAATTGGTGAAAAAGTGAGTTATTAGGTTCCAGTAAGTAACGGAGGGTTAGATTTAATTCCAAGAGTGGCCGAGTGGGTAGCATGTTTGCGTTCCGCCCATAAGGTTCCGGGTTCGTTCCCCAGTTAGGTCAATGGATTCGCACTACTGATGAGACCCAAACAGATCGAAACAGCTGTCCATTGCTTCCTAGCTTTTCATTTTACGCTTCATTTCCTATATATACTACGAATTCACCCTCAAATTTGAATCAAATCCTCCATTATTTAAGTTTGCGGTTGAGATGCCACATAGTTTCAGACTAAAATGTCAATAAATCAAAGAAGTCACGACCAAAAATACTTTTTATGATCACAAAATTTGAGGTTGTGACCTTTGTATCATTGCGGCTTTAAATCATAGGTCTGCCGATTCACGATGGGCTGTAAAAAGACATTTCGCTTATTCCATTAGGCAACTTTATTTGTTTCCTATTCATCATGTTTACCTTTGTTAATTTCGATAGATCATAACCCATTTTAGCTGTTACCTATCGAAACCTTTAATCATTATGTTGAATTCGTCGTGTAGATGAGGCGTGAGCTAATTCATGGTGCCTGTCCTCTGGACTCTCAAGCTGCAGTTTTCCATAACCTAATTTATGAATTGTGACCTATGTACTAATCGTGGCATCGATTGAAATAAAAACGCCTTTGATCCCTATTCGACGTTTCAGATGTTCTCTATCCCATTGTATTGACCAAGATTTGAAAACCTTTTTCATGTTCAGTCTCGATCAGTATTTGGCACTGACAGCCGTGGTTACCGTAGTCAGTACAATTTTTGAACACACCTTATCTATGCACATTGAATCAGTTTACGGTTTGGATTCATTGCCAGTGCGACTACTTTCCAATTGATTCAAACGTTATCTCAGCCTCTCATGCATTTAGTTCCCTTTGACATTTTCGTGAGAGCAAGCAGAGGCATCACGATCACATTGTGTTGAATTCAACTATTTCGTCTTAATCTCATCATCTCACTTTCAGGTAAATGAGTAATAGGTTTAAAGACAGACAAACACTCACGGGAGGAGAAATCAATCAATACGAATTCCAAACATCACAAATTCGTACTGGATTGGGCATAGGGGCAAGAGACGAAATCCTTGCAAATGGACGAACAATAACACTTAGCTGGGTCTAGCGAGTCTAACCACGAATTCCATCTGCTTACACAAATTGGTCTTGTAGCGTCGAGTGGCAGCTACCCCAGCTACACCAGTATCCTATGGTGGATGAAGACACGAAAGGCACTCCTAAATTTGTCACATTCTTTGAGATTATGTGATGGACGATTGAATTGGATGGAAACTTGGACCCCTTAGACGTCAAATTCTTCGATAAATGCTCCGCTGCCCTGACAGACAATCGTCTTCCGGTGCTTCCGACCTACTTACTACCACAATGCATTAATATAGGTAAACATAGTAAGAGGTGACTGAAGAGTTAGGTTTGTCTAGCTTGAATTCAATGCGCATTCGTTTCATGTCGTGCAGTATTACGAAGAAGACAGCATCACACGTTCTTTCAATTTCCTGTTTGAACCTGCGCTGTATCCACCCATCACTTTGGTCATCTTTAGATGCTTTGGTGAGAAAGCAGCTTTTTTGAGGCGCTGTCACTCTGTTCTGGTTTATTACTCGACACTCGCATACTTTGAACTAAACTTTCTAGGGCATCCATTTTCGTGCAGTTTCGTGAATGTGCAATGAAAATAGAACTATTATGTTTCATTTGAGAATACTATCTTAAATCTAGAGAACAAACCGCTAACAAAACATCGTTTATATTGTATTGAACAGAAACCTCTAAAATAAAGATTTTGCCTCGTCCAAGGCATCTTGACCACTCATTCTGATGTGCTTCTGTGAAGCGTGCTAGTGAAAGGGCTTTAGAGTTGAAACTTATCATTTTCGTTTAGTATCTTTGCAAATCGATTACCGACACCCTTAGTTCTTGTTCTCGAGCTGTTCCAAAGGCGCAATTGGGATTTGTGTATGATTTGTTTCATTTTTTGATTGCTCAATTATCTTGTATCACAGGATCTTGTGAATGATCCTGTTTGGACCTGTTTGGGATCCATTTTGAATTCATCTTACTCATCAATTTCCCTGCCAGTGACCCCACACAATTGCAATGAGTATATTCTTGCCCTGCAATTTCGTATCCCTGTTAGGTCTGTTTTGCATTTTTCGCGAACATCATTTCATAAATGATTGCAAAGACCGACCCGCTAAAACTAAACCAAATCACATTTTCATTGTGCTTTATCCTTCCGATTACTCTACCTCGCATCAGTTTCTAACAATTTCAACTAAGATTGCGATTTCTCATTTCAAGGGTTTAAGCATAATTTCATTTGCTCATTATTATAAGAGATTTTAAAATAATCATCTTATAGCAATTTTTGGTGTTATTTGTGTTTTTACTTCTAGAACAGTCAGATGAGTGAGATTTGTGTGATGCAAATGCTGCAAAACTGGAGATTCAAACATTTGTAAACATGATGTGGCCAGAAATGAATAATCTATGAAATATTTGTTGATAAAAGAGGTATATACTAAAATTTCAAACCAATCATCGCCAGTGAAGCCCACTGTGACCCACTTTCTTCAAACCTTCATTTTCCACCTTCTGATCGAATAACTGCACCGAGTACTGTTTCAATGTGGTCAAGGCGTCTGTCAACTGATCCGAAACGGGTAATCTCTGATCTGGTGTGTAGTCCGTTGTTCTTTTGGGCGTCATCTCAGCCGCTTTATAGGCTGCTTTCATGCTAATTGCTGTCTGCACAACTGCATTCTGAAAAGAAAAGCAATCTAGTGTGTGAACGAAATTTACAACAGATTAGAATCAGGCTGTCTAAAATGAATTATTAATAATGATTTTTTCTGAGTCTGCTGTTCACCTTTCCTTGACTATACAACTCCATTGAATGACACAGTCAGCTGGGACGAATTAGCTGTCTTCTATGGTGTTTTGCATTGGTTAAATCTTTACCATTCCCTCTCAATGAACAGTATTCGAAATGGGCAAATGTTGTTTTTATTCGACATTCTGTCTACAAAGTTACACAATTTCACATTGTCCTTAGGGTTTTTACGTTTTTTCACGCGCTTTTTCAGTCCGGACTTAGGCTGAATACAAACAAATGTTCGCGTGACGTTTCTTCAATCCTCCATTCACCTGTATTATCAATGCCCTGGTACTGAGACAGAACGAAGCCCCCTGGGGTGTGAACCATGAAAACCAATTTTATCCACTCTAATTCATATGTTATTTTGGAATCTTGAGGCATGTGTCCTTTCAGATTGATCAATTCAGATATTGATTCACTGCAGAAGTATGCATCTCTGTCTCTTCTTCAATTATATTTGCCATTTTTATTTTATTGCTATATGATGCTATTCCCCGATCGACGATACTAAACTGTTCTTTAAGGAACCAGCCTTGTTTGGTTAGTTAAGTTCATATGCTTGTTGCGCACTCTTGGAAATTCATCTTCCTACGGTATAATACAATGACAATTTCGAACAATATGTATACATGCACAAGACACAACTGAGAAAACCTAATCCTAAGATTTCTTCATTTCTGCATAATTCCAGCCCGCCATTCACTTAATTTCTTGTTTGTAGCGTTATTTTCTTCATATTAGGAAAAAATGGGTAGTTCAACATACCTGACCAGATTCCAAAGCTACTAGCTCGTCTTCTAACTCCGCTTCTCGTTTTTCCCATTGAACCTCGCATCGGTCAAGTTCTTTGGCAAGACTAGAATTCTCCAATTCCAGACTGATCAGTTCAGCTTCTTGAGTATGCAATAGGGACTCCAAATGATGCACTTGTTGACGCAGTTTTTCAGCCTATGTGAAATGAAACGTGGTAGGATTGCAAGAAACTATTGAGAGGGACACATGCTACGAACCAACAAAACAATAAGCAAGACGTTATTTTCATCTTCACTTTATCGCTGAGGTTTGCTTTTTACAGTTGCATTCAGCAGTATTTATTCATTCACATTTCCAATAATGAAGTGCTAAATGAGGCTGAAAAATGTTCGTTGGCGAAAATTAATGTATTCTCTCAACATAAGGTTTCACTCACTTTTCGATCATTTGGCTAAATTTTCATCATTTTTTCGTCATGAGTTTGAATAGAGAATACAGTAGGTTTGTGTTGCTCAATTATTATCTGGATACATTTAGCTGTATCTCCTCAGGTGCATACTACAGATTGTACAATATTCATGATCATCACAAACTGAAAAATTAACTTTAATAAGTTCTTTCTATTAGAGCTAGCAGATAGTCAGCTGTATCTTCCTTCGTTGTTGTTGGACCCAAATGAACTGAATGAATATCGCTGAAGACGACACTTGGTTAAACATAAATTGGCAATTTTGTTCAGCCTTGACTTGAACTGGTTGGCGCAGTGGTAACACACACCTTCCATGCGGTGAGCTCGGAATTCACATCTCGGACGGGATGGTGGGTATGCACTACTGATGAGCTCCAGTAAGAGCGAAACTGGAGGCTGATGCTTCTGAGTGTGCGATTGACCGGAAAGTGAGTGAAGATGCAGTATGTACCAATCAATCACTATTAATTATCCCACACGACTACTAACAAGTAACTGTGATTTAATTGTGAAGTCTACAACTGTTATGCTTTTTATCAAGGAAACGCCAAGGTTATCTTGCGTTGGAAGCTACGAAATCAATAAAGGTATATTTTATCATTTTGTCAAAGTCAAAGGTTTGTTATGGAAATAACTTACAAGCTGAAGCTTCTCTTGTCCCATAGGATATTTACACAGATGAATCGTTACACATCGAAAGAGGAGTCTCATAGAGTTCCGGGTAGGAGATAATAGAGAATATAGGCTACAGTGAATTTCCGTTTACTTTTGGTGGTGTACGAATGTGAGGTGTGCCAAGGTTTCGTCGAGTCTCTGCTTAAAAGATTCAATAGTGGGTGCGCAAACGACAGGAGATCCAGATCCAAGATCTGCATACTCTGACAGCAAAAGACTGACGCCGGCAATCCAGTTGACACTTGGGAATCAGTAGTTTGAAACGATGTCCCCTTAGCTGTACATTGTTCGATAA